GTGTAGCAATATATTCCTTTTGGAGTGCGGAAGGCAGTTTTCTCTTGATCTTCTGGAGCCATTTTTATTTGATTGTAACCTGAGAATCCATCCATGAATGATAGGGCACCAAAACCGGTTGTTGCATCTACCAATAATTCTGTGATTGGGAGCGGAAACTCATCTTTTGGGCATGCATCATTGACGTCTCTATAGTCCACACATATACGCAGTGCCCCAGTTTTTTTCTTAAGGACTGGAACAATATTGGACAACCAAGTGGGATATTGAACTTCTCGGATAAATCCAGCAGCAATAAGCTTGTCAATCTCGATTTCTATTTGGATTGTTAGCTCTGGCCGAAAACGGCGTGGCGCTTGCTTTACCCATCGGGCCTCATCAGATATCCCAAGTTTGTGAACTGCAACGTTTGGGTCTAACCCTGGCATGTCTTGATAACTCCATGCAAATACGTCTCGGTACTCTTGCAACAGTTGTGTGTATTCTTCTAATTCTTGCGGCGTTAACAAAGCACTGACAAAGATAGGTTTCGGGTTGTCAACTGTACCAAGATTAATTTCTTGCAGATCATCAATTGTGGCTTGACCTCCCTCCTCCATTTGTGGTGGAGCTGGTTGGACTATATCAATGAATTCCTCGATGTCTTGAGGATTATCATTTTGGTCCACCGTTTCTTCGAAAGAGGTGCAATTGACCTGGACGAGATCATCCTTTATTTTCACCCTTTTGACTGTTTCGGTCACAGCTTTCTCTTGACTCTTAACTTTCCATTTCCTTTTATTATGGACTTTCCCTTGTTGGGAACTGGAAGGGTTCTCCAAGCGTTGAAAGACCGAGACGCGGGGTGGCTGTCTACCCCCTAATCGTTTGAACACAGAGATGCGAAGTGGTTTTATATTCACCTCATCTTCTCTAAACATGGCTTGTTCCATATTAGTAAGTATCTCGGGATCGGAATCTTTTGGATGTAGCCTTCGAAGAAACACTTTGAGCATACCACTCTCATTTTGGACTAAGAGGCCATCATCGCTTTTCTTTGCTTTACGGCCTGTAAGCTTTATCTTTAATGGAGCAGATGTTGTTTCTGGTAAGGATGCCTCTTTATGAAAAACTACACGTTTACTCGGGCCATCATTTTTGCCAAAAGTAGTCGAAATGACCAAACTGCCCCCTGGGATAGATTGATTGATCTTACGAAGAGGATGAATGTAACTTGCCGTCATTAGTGACTCCATTGTTTGTTTCAATGAGTTTGTGTCTTTTTCACTAGGCTCTTTTTTTGAAGTCTTGAAAACTATCTTTGGCTTGGGAGCCTTTGCGATCGGGACTTCTTCGACTTTTGGGGATGTCACACCTCGAGGTGTCAGCTTCACTCGAATCACCCTTGTAGATTTGGTTGCTTCTACCTTTTGTGACTTTCCTGCCTCGACAGTTGCTTCTTTCTCCTTATCCACCTTTGGTGGCTGTGTGAATGAGAGACCAGGTGGACCATAAAACTTCGCATCAGAGTAATTTACCTCTTCGCCTCTGAACGGATCCATATCAGCTGAAACGCTCTTGACTTCCCCATCCACCAAGTATTTGAAGCACTGGTGAAGTGTAGAAGGGACTACGCCATATGTATGGAGCCATGGACGTCCTAGAAGGACATTGTATGAAGTGTCAGCATCGATCACATGGAATAGAGCATCTGAATATAGGTCCCCTATTTCCATTTGCAGTGCGATAGAACCCATGGCTTTTTGCCCAAGTTGATTGAACCCTTGAATAGTCAGCATAGATGGAGACAAATGTCGGGCACTCATCCCTATAGCATGTAACGTCTTTAGAGGGATAAGATTCACGGCCGAACCACAATCTAACAAGATTCGATTGATGGTCATGCCTCCAACTTCGCCAGTGACATAAAGAGGTCGATTATGGCATTTGGAGTCCCCACTTTGCCCAAGCTCTGGCGTTAGTGCTTTCGCTCTAGCAAGTTTTTTCATTTTAACAGAACGTAGAGGGGAACGATGTTGCACCATCTTCAACTCTTCTCTGGATCCGGAGTTTTTCGAGAAAAGGTCCCATCCTTCAATATCATGATTGGGTCGACCAGGCCAGATCATGAGTGAAATATCATGATCGAGTCGACCAGGCCAGATCATGAGTGAATAGAAAATCGAAAACGTACATAGCTGTTCCAGCCGAAATACTTGGAATAATTCTACCACTTCTACTAGGAGTAGCCTTTTTAGTGCTAGCTGAACGTAAAGTAATGGCTTTTGTGCAACGTCGAAAGGGTCCTGATGTAGTGGGATCGTTCGGATTGTTACAACCTCTAGCAGATGGTTTGAAATTGATTCTAAAAGAACCTATTTCACCAAGTAGTGCTAATTTCTCCCTTTTTAGAATGGCTCCAGTGACTACATTTATGTTAAGTCTGGTTGCTCGGGCCGTTGTACCTTTTGATTATGGTATTTTGGCTCTTTTAACAAATGTCTTCCACCCCTCAGCAGATTCATTGGCCGAAGAATCATCCCATATCTCTAGACTGGGTGCAACCATGAGCTCATGAAGAGTGGGAATTTGAAGATCACTAGACCATGGTGCTTTTGGACAGGCATGTACAACTGTACCCCCATTGTCGGTATTAGTACCTGCAAATTTTGCTCCACCTATTAATGCAGTGGTAAGTGTGAGCTTTTCTTCTATCATATTTGCCGTAGCTGAATGATGTTGGGAAGAAGAGTCTATCACCAAACCGCCATTGTTGAGAAGCTCTTGAATTTTGTCTTTTAGGATATAACAATCCTTGAGCGTATGACTGATGAGGCGATGATACCGACAGTACTTAGGGTCATTTGTCTTGTTAGCCTCAGCAGGACGTTTTGATTCTGGCAAAGTAATACCTTTAGAGGCCAGAAGTTGGTCAAAAATTTCTTCTACATCTTCATCATCAAAAGAATATTTGACCTCTTTGCGCTCTTTAAGAGTAAGCCTTTTGGGTGGGTCTTTATTTTGGCCTTTGTCATTCTTTTTTTCTGTTTTGACAAAAGTGGCCAATGACTCTCCCTTTGCAGACTTCTTGTCATTTTTCTTCTCTCCAAATTGATTTTTTTGAGTCGCGGACTTTTGGCGAGCAATTTGTCTTTCAACATTGCTCGCTTTTGACACCAAAGCATCAAATGACTGGGGTTCAGCAATGGCAACAAAAGATGCAATG